CCCATTAATAGATAGGTCAGTAGCTGATTTGGGCCTAGGGATTGGCCCAAATTGATGGCCCCCATTAGATTGAGCTGAGGGGAATGAGATAGGGTTTGAGTTGGGGGTTTCTTGTTCCATGTCGGATCTACACGCAATGTGGCCTGAGCTGGTTGGCTGGACAATTTGACCAAGGGTGCCTTCATTTTCCGTCGAAGTAGCAGGATTGGCTTGGAGGTCGGCCGGCATGAGCGCAGGCTACGGCGCATCTAGGAACTGAGAAGGGCCCGCCAATGATGAGGAAGCTTCGGACCGGAGCTGGGCTGTTAAAGGTGAGGGTTGTCCAACAGGTGGCGGTATGGCGCTGGGACGAAGCGTACCGTGAGCCGTCGGACTCCTGGGCCAAGGATGAAGGATATTGTCGGCCGAGGATAGGGCGGATCTGAGGGAATCCTTGAGCTTGGTTGACCAGGCGGTGACTTTGCTAAAAAGCTTGCCGGAAACTGGGAGTCCGTTTGGGAGCATCGAGGAGGCCGGAGAAGGGCTGCTCGGTTGAGGAGACATTGTGGAAAGGGAAAGAGGGGTAAAAAAATCGTAGTGTCGAAGTCCGGCGAACCTCCCGGAGTCGGGCGGCTCGCCGCCGGAGGCGACGGACGCCGGCAAGGGCTATTTGGGGGAGGTGACCGCGACGATGTAGATGGAAATTGGGGGCGATGGGCTGGGGTTTAGAGAGAGAGAGATGAGAGATGAGAGATGTGAGAGCATTTTGAAGACAAACTTATGTAGCGGACCTACTTGTCCACTAGATACCAACCTTTGAATCCTTTCAAACAGGAGCAGATCCAGAAAAAATTTTTTGGGGGGAACTGAGCTGTTATTCGAACAAAATTGTCTGCGAAGACAACTCGGTTTGACTCGTAAAAACTCGAGCTCAACTTGTTCTTATACTTACAAGAATTAATCACAACCACATAATCGAATATAATGCATTAACTGAGTTGGGTTTCATTTTTTTTTTAATGATTTAGGTCGAGCTGACTCGTTTATTTATCAAACACGAGCTTGAACATGAGATATTTTAGCTTGACTTCACTGAACAACACATTTGGAGAGGAGATATAATTTTATATAACAAACACACATATAAGGCATATAATTTCATTATATACAAAATTGATAAATAAATAATAAAAATGCTCTACAAAAGATATAACTTATTGATTTCGCTATTTCAAAATTGTGTTTGAGATTATTTCATATCATAAGACTCATTAATAATTGTTTTTTTTTTCTTCTTGAAGGGGACTCGTTAACAATTGATTAAGTGTTAATAGTTCCTGTGATTACTTTTTGATCCGTGAAAATGCATATCTTGCATACTCAACTATTTTATTTTATTTTATTTATTTTTTATTTTTTATTTTTTTTTGTAAGATGTTGCATATTCATACATCCAGTTTAATTAAATTCTATATTACAAAGAAAAAACACCAAATATTATAGATGAGAGTGAAAAATAACTTACATAAATATAACGTGCATAAAAAATAATTAGTAATAATTATTGAGCGTAGGTATAAATTGAATATGCTTATAATATATATATATATATAATATATATATATATTTATGAAGTAAAAGATAAAAATTGACAATATACTTTTAATGTTTATATGTATATATAGTAAAATACTTTTAATGATATATAAACTCATAGTAAAAAATTAAAAGTTTGTGGGAGGTGGGACAATAGCCCCCTATCCAACAAGTGGATCTGCCCCTGCTTAGAAAAGCTCACCGCGACCTGCGGTGGAGAGGATGGCGAAGCAGATTAGGGAGTTATAGGCGAAGGTTGATGGAAAAAAGGTAGGGAGAGCCCGAGTGTTCTGTCTGCTCTTAGCTC